GTGTGTGTGTGTGGAAGGGGGGGGGGGAACTGTACAGTTAAGACCCGCACTAGTAACCAAAAATAGGTTTCCCAGTAGAATTTCACTAATATCAACATGTTGTTTCTTTTTATACTTCTTTTAGATACAACTTTAGCAAAGAGACAAGCAACTATAGAACCACACTACTATGGTGTTACTTCTTCCATTTGGTTATATAAGCACATTCTGCACTTTCATGCATTATAACCACATCTTGTATTGAAGTAATGTTAAGAAAATATTCAAAAATGCATCTTTTTTTCAAATATTCTAATCTGTATGATTGGAAACATTCAGTCATGACAGATAAAATGTTGGACATATCAAGCTTCATTTTATATGGTATTAGCTACTGTTTGTGAGTTATACTTTCTAAAGATAATTTTACTTAGATCCAATTGAAACGTTCCTAGCTAGAGCTTTCAAAACAACAGATCAAACTGTGTTCTTCTGCAAGTGTAGTAAGAATCTAGCTGTTACTCTGATCTCTCTCTCTCATAATATTTAATACCTGTCAAATATTTCAATATCAAAACTGAAACACACTCACTCAGACATTGATAAAAACCTGTGTTCCTTTCAAATAATTCTCCATGAGCCAATAATTAAGTTAAATTTATATATTAAACTCTTAACATCCAGCTCAAATCTTTTATTTTCATTCAGATGTTGTCTACCAGTTGTGTTCTCAGTAATTAGTTCATTTTTCTTGTACAGTACTCATGAATGACTTTGTTTAAAGCTTCATACATGTGTGCAACACCAAACACAGACAAACACATATGTATATATATATATATATAAATGCATATTGCTATCTCAACATTTACACTTTTTCACATATACTAGTAGCTGTCAATAGACTGTCTCCAGGTTTTGCACTGTCATCATGGTAACCATCTACTTTCATAAACTGAATATTGTTAAGGTATGGTGCCGTATCATGCTACCATTTGTGCATTGAAACTCAATAGGTCTTATAAGTATCACTAAGTCTGTAAAAACCCAAAGAATTCAACTGAACCAAGACTTTCCAGCTAAAATTTTTGTACTTGGATTAACATTTATACTGTTGCTACCATGTATATCAATACATATTCAAACCAACCTTGGCTAAGTACAATAGTCCATAATAAAATGCTTTTACTGTCTTTAAGAGAGGATTTGTAGTATCCAGGGTTATTTTCTTTAGCAAAGAACCAACAATTCTATGATGTAGTTTGTACTATCTAGGCCAGTTTTTCCTCTGACACCAGCTCTTAACATCTCAACTCATACATGGCCAGTAGAACAACTGTCACATGTTAGTGCTAGTGCATGAGACAGTTTGGTGCCCTCCAGTCCTTGTTTTATACAAAGTTTGGAGACACTGCTGCCACAGAGTCCTGAAGACCACTAGCTGCAACACAGTTTGTGATCATGTAGTAGTTAGGGCATTCTGTTGTGACCACAATAATCCAGATTTGAGTCCTGTTTATGACACCAAATTTTATTTTTCCTACCTATTTTCTGGGATTCTCAGATTCACTGGTTTCCCTAAAAGCAAATTGATAGAAAGCTGCAAGCTAATTAGAGATTTGAAGTAAACTGAGTAAAGGTCTGACTTTAACAGTCTAATGTAAAGAAAAACACTGAACACTAAGTTCTATAAAATAACTCTTTACTCAAACACAAATCAAACTTAACAATTACACACAGACAAGTGTTTACAAGTGCTTAAATATCAAATCCCTAAATGCATTAAGTTATCTCTCAAACAAAGTATCTTATCTAACAGCTCACAATTCTATATATAAGCTAAATCTACAAACTCTTTGTAACAAAGAATCTAACTTAAAGAAAGAACTGTATAACACAAAGAAAACATAGTATTTACAACACTGTGTGTGTCTCTTTTTCTTCCTAGGTGCATGCATGACTGAGGACCATTCTCAAGTTATCAAGAGGGTGTCGAGCTCTTAGGATGTCACTCAGTTTATCATTAGAAATGATTATAGTTGCTATGACATATTTTATTACATTAATCCTTCCTAACAGGCATCAAATGTAACTTAGTGAGTCATTCAGTCCCTTGAAATATTAAATCAAAACTTTATGGCTAGTTTGACTTAGGTTTTGTAGCAAAACAAATTCAAGGTATTCTGAAGCTTTGGAAAATTCATCTACTAACTGAGGGAAAGGAAAGTATATGGTATCTTCATGTACCACATGTTTCTACCTATTTACCTGTTTTCTTTGTGTTTTTGGATCCACACATATTTTACGGTCTTGTACAAAAAGTAAAAAAATAGGTATTGTAATATGATGAAAGAAGGCTAATTTTTTCTCTAGTAATTTTATTTTAAATATATTACTTCCAGATGAAAAGAAATGAATGTAATAATCCTTCACTTAATCCTTGAAAGGTTTACTTTCTTACTAGGTAGAGCATGGCATGGCCTGATGGTTAAGGCACTCGACTTGCAATTTGAGAGTTGCAGGATCAAAACCATGCACTGAACATGTTTGTCCTTTTAGCCTTGGGGTGTTAGAATGTAATGATCAATCCTTAGAGTTGCCAGTGGGTGCTGCTGGCTGGATTCCTTCTCTTTGATCAGCTATTCGAATTTAGGGGTTGTGGTAACTAGCCTTGGTAGATTTTCTATAAACAAACCTACTGAGGTAATCTTGATGCAAAAGGATCTCCAAAAAAATTTACATGTTAAATTATTAAATGAACCTTTGTATTATTTTTTTTTACATGTGACATATATTTAACATATTTGTTGTATTCATGAGCAAACAGGTCCAAACATTTATTAGGCTAACCAAGCTGAGAAAAAATAGTTTTTAATTCTTGTTTTTGCTCTCAAACTCCAAGTGTTTTTGCAAAGCTTGGATGTAGGGATATCCAAAGTTGACATTATTTTAAACTGGTTATTTCAATTAAACATGTGATTTATACATTTTACAATCAAACCAAGTGCTTAGTTTATTTCCATGTCTTTATGTAGTAAATATTCAACATCATGGAATGATTTGTGGGTTTTCACTTTTTTTCCTTCCAATTGGGTCTTCAGTGAAAAATGTTTAGTTTTTAAAGAAAATTGGTATGATTTTACTAAGTGAAACTTGTTTAGGTTTTTTTTTCCATTATAATTGACAACCTTCTAACATTTGCTCTCATCTTTTTAAAAGGAGTTACATATGCTAAACAGAAGAGACTTTGTGTAAAGCATTATATGCATTTATTCTTGCAGCTCAAATAGGTATCATAATCAGTAATTTTAGCTTTTTTTGAATAAAATTAACCTGAGCACTTGCACAAGGACAATGAAAAAAATACATTACCTCAAATGTCAGTCTAATGAAGTATTAGAATATAATATCTTGAAAAAATAATTTCTAGTAGAATATATTTTGTTTTTCATGTATCTCAAGTTTTAGATAAATTAATAATTTTTTGTTGTTGTGATACATTGTTTTTGGAATGTTCTTTGGCATTGTATTTTTATTTGTGAAAATAAATTGTTTTGCCTGTTGGTGAAACTATTTTATAGGATATCCGAACCCTCACTACATTTGCTAAACACAGATTCCAGGTACTAATATTTATGTGATTTTCTAACAGGCTGGGTGTTGCTTGATGGTTATAGTGCCATGCTGTGTATTGGAGGATCCAAGGCTCAAATTATGATATGCTATTGAACACATAGCACTTTTAGCTGGGACTTTTTAAATTGTGACAGCTAACCCAGCTATTTATTTTGAGTAACTTCATAATATGTTACAGCTACTGCTGATTGACTGCCTTCAGTCTGGCCAACAGTTCCAAGTTAAGAATAGCTATCCTTGAACCTTATATAGGGTTTTTAGCTTGACTGTTTAGTTCATGCACCACACCATTCAGATCATTACTAAGAATTCTTCGGTTGAGGTAATTATTGATAATTTCTGACCATCACACCAGAAAAAAATTGGCATGAGGTACTCTTTTACGTATGAAACAATATTAGTAACAGTTAATAATGAACAATTACTTTTGGTATTTGAAACAAGTCCTGCAAGTGTATAAGAGTTTGAATATTTGTGAAACTAGTTTCTCCAAACGATTGTCAGACTGATTTTATTATAGGACTTGCAGTATTTCTCCAATGTTTGCAAAACTATGTATTACTGCTGAATATTCTATAAAAAAAGTATCTGGTAATATCAAGTTTACATAATTAAATATCTTCGTTACTGTAGAATATTTTTCACGGTAAATAAGATGTAGTTCACCTTATTTCTTTAGCTTATCCTTCCCCATAGTTATGAGTGAGGCGTGTAATTTTCCAAAGTTAGTACATACCTTTTCACATGGTAAATCCAAGAATAGATTAGGTCCTCTTTTAGATAAAATTGTACAGTTCTAGTGAGAAGGAAATTTATTCTTGAACTAGTATGTCTATAAAGAAGCTTATTGGTTACACTAGTATTAAATATTCTTTCAGTACTTACAATGAAACAGATAGATGACTTATAGTGGATAAATGACATGACAAACACCATACACGTGAATATATTTGTGTGTTTTAGAATCCATTTGTACAAACTTATTTCATGATGGAGTGAAATGACCTTTATCTTATATAAATCAGGGTAAGAGCAACTTCTTGTTTACCACATCCACGCACACCGAGAAGGTAGGGATATTACAAGGGAAATTTCCTCTGGGTTTACAATACCGTACACTGAAAAGTTTTGAAAAACTTAATCTTATTCAGGTATTCGTAGGGTGTTGTTTATCAAATTTTTTACACAGTCTCAATCAGTGTCGTGGAAGGCGAACAGTGATTTAGCTGATTATAAATTGTCTGTATTCTAACATTGTTCAAGACAGACTGACAGCTCTGGGAACATCTGCACAGCGAACTTTGACACCATGATTAATAACTCTGCCAGACAGAAAGCCAGAAAAGTTAACTTGTAACTCATATGTTCAATTAATTAAATGTAATTTGTTGTAAGCAGTGATAAACTCACTTGGGAAATAGAACTGGGAAAAAATATAAAAATAAATTTAACGGTTAAAATGAAGTTTGTAGAATGTATAGGAATTTGAATTGTTTACAATACTGTATGTCTTGGACCAGAGATGGCTGTTTGTACATAAAACATTTTTAAATAGGGTTAAGTGCATCTGATGCTTGTAGGTCTTTCACCGTTCTTCTCACTCTTTTTTTTTATTTACTTTTAAAAACATCACATAAAATATAGCGATAATTAAAAACAGAATTTCTTCTTCAAATCGATTCAGGTTTTTTTTATTGTTGTTGTTGATCAGTTTTCTCCTGTTTTTCCATTACTTATAATGAACAACAAAACATAAATAAAATGGTAAATGAAATATAAAATCAAAGTAAAAGGAGAAAACTTCATAAAGGTGCTTGAACTTCCTACAATGTAATATCCTACTTCTTTGGATTTGGGTCACGAATGAATCAAACAATGTGTTTAGGACAGTTGTTTTTCTCAGATTAGATTTCTGCATACAAATTTTATCTTCACGTTTCTGTAAATATTCGGCTGTTAATTATTTCTTATGTACTATTTATCCTTATAGCCACTACTGAATGTAGCATATTTTAAAATATGTTTACTACTGGCTTCTATTGTTTTTTCTTCCGGAGTGTTTATGCTGTAGTTTTGTTTTCAACTAAGATAAAAACGACCCAAAGATATCTTGACGATTAGTAGTAATCACAGGTACTATACCAGCAAGATTGGTTTTACTGCGTAGTAGTCACAGATGCTATAGCAGCATGACTGATTTTATTCCTCTTTTCTTGTTACTAATCGGAGATCAATGGATCTTCACACTAAAAGCTGCCCCCCATCCCCCGGGGAGCAGTAACTTCACGGACTTACAGCTTAAAATCTGGAGTTACTTTCTCGCGATGGACAGAGTGCTGAAAGTCAGCCTATTGCGTGACATAACCAACATAATAAAAGTCATTGGTTGTATTTAGACGCTTGCAGAAGAAATAATATGAACTGTGGCGTGGAAACTTATTTTTGCCAGGGAGAGTAACTTTCAGTCAACATGTAGTTGTACACAAAGGAGATTATTCTTTAATATATAGTGACAATAAACAATATTATTGGTATGTCAGTATACAAGTTTTAAAAAAAGTTTTGACAAATCAAAATTAAGAATCTCTAAATGAAAATTCGTTGTTGTTTTGACCCCTATAGAAATGTCTATTTCAGAGTGACTGCTAGTGCTGCTCCCTATACACGAACATAGGGCGAACGATCGCTCTCGCTGCTCCTCCGGTTTATGTGTCATAGAATAGCTGTAGGTGATGGCCTTTGGGGCTAAAGTCCTGGCGATACCGATCAGTAAAGAAAATACAAAACAGTATCTGTTGTGACTACTGTAACAGAACCTTAAAATGTGCATACATGTCCAATCGCAAATTAATTTCAAAACAGTAGGCTACAGCATTGTAAACAGACTGAAAGAGGGTATTTAATTGTGAATATATATATATAGATAATCTTTTCTGCTTTAACTGTATGATTCCATCTATTGCCCATATCTTTGTCATTCCACTTGGTCATCCAGTGATTACAATTTTCATATGTCATAATGCTGTTTGTTTCCTAATTGGGTGGTAAGTGTATTACGAAGTCGAACGAAGATAGTACCACGTATATATAAACTTACTTTTCTATAGTGTAGGAGGGAAAGGTGAAACTGATTGAGATAGGGGCACATACTGTTTCTTCCCCAGAGCCCAGTAATTTTGCATAAAATTCAATACAAATATAGAGGCCATGAAATATATTAGCGATTCTATACGGCGGTTAGTAACAAATTATTTAATCACATTTTGCTTTCAATTTAATGGTTCTCAATCACATGTACATGCCCTTCGGTGTGGGGGATGTGTAATAGGGTAATATTACCTTTTCTTTAAATGTAAATTTTATATGTAAAAAAATATAGTTAATATTTGTATTCAAGTATATTTTTATGCCGTCCCTTTCTTACAACTAGAAAGTCGCGTCTTCAGGCAGTATTAATTTAGCCAGCCTTTTAATTTTAGTCATAGTGTTAAGCAAGTTTTCCTTTCTTTTTTATTGATTAAAAAGTTACAGCCATAATGGATAAGTAACTATAAAAAACAACAAGAAACAAATAGAAGACACTAGCTTACACTGCCCTTCTGGTATTTTAGTCTAGCCTTAATAGGTTGTCCATTTCTTATTGCTTTAGTCTAATGTCTTAATTTTCTGTATATTATTTCCAGGTAGAGTCTATATAGTCGTGTTATTTCACACACACACAAAGTCGTAAATTATCAAATTATGTTTGTTTATTTGTTTTGAATTTCGCGCAAAGCTACACGAGGGCTATCTGCGCTAGCCGTCCCTAATTTAGCAGTGTAAGACTAGAGGGAAGGCAGCTAGTCATCACCACCCACCGACAACTCTTGGGCTACTCTTTTACCAACGAATAGTGGGATTGACCGTCACATTATAATGCCTCCCACGGCTGAAAGGGCGAGCATGTTTGGTGTGACGGGGATTCGAACCCGCGACCCTCAGATTGCGAGTCGAGCGCCTTAACCACCTGGCCATGTCGGGCCATCAAATTATGAAAATTAAGTTCTCCTGCAGCTTCGCCTCTCATCATAGGCCTCTGTTGGGATATAAATACGCGTACAAAATGTAGTTCGACATAGATATAGAGTTAGATAGATCTAGTTTAATCTACAGTCTAATTATTTCGAATACCTCGAGTTATAATGTTTCAAAACTAACGCATATATTTAAACACCTAAAACCAGTTTTGCTATATATCCATACAAATTTTCAAGTACTCTATGTTGAGGTCATTGACAGCCACATGACAAAGGTCAGTTCTTTGGTGACCTAATCTATTTTGCAATATACACTGAATTTAAAAGTCAGTAAACATAACGACACAATACACTAAATGTGAAGTCAATATTTGATGGGAACTTTCAGTTAGCGTACAATTCTTGTATACTTTCTGTTCAATTTGACTCCATAAACTGACTATTTACCTTTCAACCAAACGTATGCAAGTAAAATCACAAATTCTAAATAAGAATGTTGACAGAATTTTAATGTAAACATCTTACTGCTTGTTCAATATGAGTAATGTTTTCGTTTCTACAAAACTGACAGACAAACCAGAAATTCTATATCCATACCTTTCAAAGCTTCACTTTGCAAAAGTTAAACTTATTAGTCTTCCCAATACATTATTCACAAATGAACATAATCGAAAAAGGAATCTTAATTATAATTCTTCCATTATTTCAAAGATATTTGAAACGTGATATATTATCTTTCACTTACACTTTATAGAGAGATCTTCAGTTACTAATCAGTATTCTGTGATGCTCTTATGTAAAACTCACGTTTAATGCAAAACTTCAAGATATACTAATATACTATTTATGAAATCATTTTAGATTATAAAATACTAACTCACATCCCAATGTAATAATATCTGTAGCTCATACTTGTTCTAACATGTTATTA